TAGGCACACCGAAAGAAATGAGTTAAAAGATGGGAATGTAAGTTAGGTTGTTGTCTGCGTTTGTGGGTGGCAGTTCTAGGGAGAGGAATTTAATTCAGCGACACAGCCAGATGTTTACTGAGCTGCTTGCTGAGAATCAACCTGTCTGCAAGGCCCATAGAGTGAATACAAAAAGAGAAGTAATAATTCCTTAAGTTAGTGGGCTTAAATGCATATTCTTAATCCTGGAAGAGGGTCTAGGAACCTGCATTTCAACAAGCCATCCCCTCATTATTTAATCAAGAATTATTTATAAGGGCATTGAATTAACAGAGTTTAGAATTAAAGAGATGTCCAAGATAAGGTCTAGGGCTAGGCCTCAAAGCCCCTGTCAATCAAGACCTTCTTGCTAAGTGCAGTGCTAAGAGGCAAGAAGCAGGTGGGATTAGAGAGGTGGGGGCTTGGAGAGGGTAGAGAAGAAATGAGTATCAATTAGACTGAGCTATGGTTCTCACAAGAATTTACTGTGCCTGGCACAAGCATTCACTTAAGTGGATTAAAGTCTATTTGAAGGAAAAGATAGGGACTCCTGAAAAGATAACTAACCTTACAAGAAGAGCTCAGAGGTCCCCAAATTTGACTCTCATCAGAGTCACCTAGAAAAAGTTTGAAAAGGACAGATTCCAGAGCTCTGCCTTGGAAATTTTATTTTTGTAGCTCTGGGGTTAGGAACCAGGCATGTATAATATATATTTTTAATTCTTCCAGTTAATAGATTAAGGAGATGTAACCACCAAATGCAATGGAAATCTGGATTAAAAGAAAACTAAAGCATAATTTTGTTTTGTTTTGTTTTGTTTTGTTTTTGAGACAGAGTCTCACTTTGTTGCCCAGGCTAGAGTGAGTGCCATGGCGTTAGCCTGGCTCACAGCAACCTCAATCTCCGGGGCTCAGCGATCCTACTGCCTCAGCTTTCCGAGTAGCTGGGACTACTGGCATGCGCCACCATGCCCGGCTAATTTTTTTTGTATATATATTTTTAGTTGGTCAATTAATTTATTTCTATTTTTGGTAGAGACAGGGTCTCGCTCAGGCTGGTTTCGAACTCCTGACCTTGAACAATCCGCCCGCCTCGGCCTCACAAACTGCTAGGATTACAGGCGTGAGCCACCACGCCCGGCCTAAAGCATAATTTTGAGACACTTAGGAAAATTTCCTGTGGACTGTATATTGAACTTCCTGTTGAGTCTTTTCAGGTGTGGCAACGTTGTTCTGATAGTAGGACCATGGCCTCATTCCTGAGAGACTGTGGAGAAGCATTTAGGGATGAAATGTCTTGGTATCTGCACACCACACCAGTCTTGGGTGGCCTGGCAAAGAGGAAGTGTGCATAAATATAGAGGAGGGCGCGTGGTGGGGCAGGCAAGAGGTTCATACCACAGATGAGGATCATTTGGGTGTTCTCTGTTTTGTTCTTGAAACTTTTCTGTAGGTTTAGAAATTTTAGAAATTATAAAGCATTAATTTTTAAAATAAAAACAAATAATGGAGCATAAAAACCCCTCAATGTTTGATTTTGTCACCCAGCAGAGTTGTACAGTCTCAGTAGAAAGGAACATTTTATAGAAGCTTGGAGCAGTGAGAGGTTACTGTGGCCCAGAATTGTGTTTCTCCACTAATTTTCTGCAAGGACACACATGACAAATGATGCTTACACACAGCGCCTACAGCCACGGGAGGACCCAGGGTTAGATGTAATTCCTGGCCACTGACTTGTAATGCAACAGATTTTCCTCCCACTTAAGAATGTTAACTTGCAGGTAAATGATCTTATCACAGGGATAACTTTGAATACATTCAAATTTGTTTAAAAAATAATAATGTCCTAATTTCCGTACTTTTGTGTGGAAGGGGTTTGAAAATTCAATCAATCATTCTGATGTACAAAGAAAATGTAGATTCTTTGCTATCTGGAACTGATCTAATCTTTGCCATGAGCAGTCATGACACTGGGTCATTGCACAGAGGAGAAAATGACTTTAACTCAGCAGTGAATGTAGTGGAAGTCTTTTCCAGTTTAATGAGCTTATGTGGATAGCTAGACTCAGAGTCTTTTGGTAAATACGTAGCATTTCAGACTTCCTCTCTATGTCAGTAAGGGACTCTACAATGATGTGATCATAGAAAATTGTAAGGGCAGTTACAATTTATTTTTTTTAATTGAGAAAAAGTGGTGCTTTACTTATAAGAATAATGCATGGGTATTGTGATGGATTATGAAAATAGTCTCATTCTTCACGGCTGTCTATGTCCCAGCCCTTTGTCATATTACTTTTCAGGGCATTCTAAGTCTGAATTTGGGCTTAACCACGTGATCCTCTCAGCCAGTGGGTGTGGCTGACCTGAGGTGGGCAGAGGTTTGAAATGGACTAACGTTGGGCTTTTGTCTTGCGTCTGTGCGGTTGCCATGAGACCATGCCTAGGCTAACCTGCTGGAGGAAAAGAGACACACGGATCTCAGCTGGGTCTCCCAGTCATCATACTGGAGGTCGTCCCAGATCAACTGCCAACCAGTCAACCCCTGGACATGGGAGCAAGTCCAGCCAAGATCAGCAGAACTTTCTAGTTCCCCCCACACCCCCTCCAAAACACAACGGTATGCCATGGAGGTTTTGTGGCTTCTTTGTTACTGTGTTGGTCCAAGTCCTTCAAGAAGCAGATGCTGGATAGGACAAAATGTGCAAGGAGTTTGTTAGGGAAATTCCTCTGTGAGAGGAAATGGAGAGGGAGCTGTGGGCTAAGAGAGCTGTCAGAAGCCAATACAAGTCTGACCCAGAGTGAAGGAAGGAGTCCAAGGAAGGTGTAGCAAAGCCACTGGGGAACCTCAGGCCGAAGGCTGCCATCAGAGGAGTCTTGTGCCTCCTAGGAACAGGTGTGCCTTAGCGTTCCCATTGGCTGGGAGCAACCTGTGGGAAACAGGGCCTTGGCATAAACATGGCAGTGGATTTCAGAGTGTGCTAATTGGTCAATTAGACTAATGAGTCTGCAGGGTGCTTTCTCATGGCTGCCACAGTTACACAGCCTTACTGTGATAAAACTTAACTGATACAGGCAGGAGACTACTTGCTATAGAAAGTGAATTCTTTTTTTTTTAGACACAGTCTCACTCTGTTGCCGGGGCTAGAGTGCCGTGGTGTCAGCCTAGCTCACAGCAACTTCAAACTCCTGGGCTCAAGCAATCCTCCTGCCTCAGCCTCCCGAGTAGCTGGGACTACAGGCATGTGCCACCATGCCCGGCTAATTTTTTCTATATATATGTTTTAGTTGTCCAGCTAATTTCTTCCTATTTTTAGTAGAGATGGGGTCTTGCTCTTGCTCAGGCTGGTCTCGAACTCCTGAGCTCAAACAATCCACCCTCCTTGGCCTCCCAGAGTGCTAGGATTACAGGCGTGAGCCACCGCACCCAGCCTAGAATGTGAATTCTTAATATGGGCAGTGTTGACTCCTAGGGGGCATTTTGGAAATGTCTGGGGGCATTTCTTGGCTGCCATAATGATTGAGGACCAGGGATGCTAGATGTCCTGCAACTCACTAGACCATCCTGCACAATAAATCTTCCTGTGCCCTCAAAAAATCCCAATGTCCTGCATGATATCCACAAGGAAAATAATCTGTTTAGAAGTATTTGAGCCAAGAACCTGATTCTGTTGTACAAAGAAACATTAAATATTTCTTGCTCAATATGACTATGCACTGAATTTCTAGGATTGCAATTGCTTTGTTTCAAACTTTACTAAGTGTTGGTCACCCTTTTTAGGAAATCATGCCACCAAGCATCACTACTTGTGGTATTTGAATCACCAATACAGTGCTGCTGAGGCAGTCTACATTTGTGACTGTGATCATCATGTGCAATGAGCAAGCATCTGGCTATTTTGTCACGTCTCCTTCCCTGCATGATCATTTGCAGGCACTGACAATGAAACACATTTCATTATACTGATTTTCCTGAAATTATGTGGTGGGTAGGCTGTATTACTTATTAACTTTGTTTTAGGATGAAAGAAGGTGCTAGGTCTGACATGGTGCAGGACCACTCCTATAGAATGAGGGCCAGATAGTTATATAGGATTATAAAAGAGAAGAGAAATGTATACCCATGTTCACGGCAGCATTGTTCACAGCAGCCAAAAGATGGAAGCAATGCAAGTGTGCATCGAGAAATGAATGGGTAAACAAAATGTGGTCTATGCACACACATCCTTCGAGAGCCCAGGCTGATACTGAGCTTCACTCCCTCATAGCAGGACTGAGCCCCAGATGTGTGGGGAGACGTCCCAGCCTCAGCCCTGCAGGCCTGTCCTCTGAAGTCCTGGTCTCTAATAACAACCCCGCTGCCCTTTCGCTCCCCCATCCTAGAGCTGGCAGCTGCTCCCTTCAGTGGTTAACCTCTGTTTACTTCTGCAATTTCCTTTTGCTTTTCTCCTCTGATACCTAACACCTTTGTAATCAATTACCTGTATTATATTTCTTCTGTTGAAAATTCCTGGTGTGGTTTCTGTTTTCCTGTCTGGACCCTGACCGATGGCACCTCTTAAAAACATACATCCCTCAGTCCAGGAGTGATGTTGCCTCCACCTGTATGCAAAGGGAAGAATCTGATATGGATCCTCACAGCAGCTAGATTTTGGTCTCTAATATTATTTTCTATTAAAAGGAACCAGGGGTCCTTGGAGAGTAGCTGATTCTATGATTCTGTGTTTGGGATAGAGAATGTAGAAATGGGTTAGAAAATCTTATTGTTGTCAAAAAGTGAACATTTCGGGGACTCTCATTGACCAAATTGTGTGACAACTTTAGCATTAAAAAGAAAAAAAACCTATTTCTGTGCAAAAATGTGGATATATAACAATACTAAAAATGGGCAACTAAAATGTAGTCCATTAAAGGAAAAGCAATTATGAGTTTCTAATAATGTTTGCAGAAAATGCTCTCTATGCTAGTGCATGTAAGTTCCATCATTAAAAACAAGGCAATAGAACGATCTACAAGATGGGTTTTCCCGAAGCTGCCAGTTCTTTTAGAACTCATCAAATTGAGGCTGCTCCAACCAGCTCTCCAGGTGATGGATTTAAGGCAAATCTTGTCTTTAAGGAGATTGAGAAAAAGCTTGAAGAGGAAGGGGAACAGTATGTGAAGAAAATTGGTGGTATTTTTGCCTTCAAGGTGAAGGATGGCCCTGGGGGTAAAGAAGCCACCTGGGTGGTAGATGTGAAGAACGGCAAAGGATCAGTGCTTCCTAACTCAGATAAGAAGGCTGAATGCAGGATCACAATGGCTGACTCCGACTTACTGGCTTTAATGACTGGTAAAATGAATCCTCAGTCGGCTTTCTTTCAGGGCAAATTGAAAATCACTGGAAATATGGGTCTGGCTATGAAGTTACAAAATCTTCAGCTTCAGCCAGCCAAAGCTAAGCTGTGAAGAACTTCCCTTTGACTACTTTTGAAAATCAAGATGAAAAATATAGATATGTATCCATATATTTCATTGTCAGAATTTAGACTGAGACTACAAATTGGCAAATTGTGTGAGATAGATTTGTTTTTCAATGGGTATGACCAATCCTGTTTTTCCTATGCTCTGGGTGAATGGAGCCTGATGGTGTACTACTGCTTTGCTGAATTGCATTCAACTATGCATTACAAAGTTAATATGGTAATTATGGTTTGGGGTAAAATTGAGTTTCAGAATAAAATTAGGAACAGTAAAATCCAAAAAATTATGTAAACAAAAGCTCTTATTTTGCTTATCAAGCATATTTAAGGATTATTCTACTGAAAATTCAGTTTAAGAGTTTTCCTTGGAGAGAACTAGGGAAGAAACAATACCAATAGCCAGTCAGTAATTAGCGTTATGCACTTAATGACCTTAATCAATCTCTCATTAATAGTTCTTAAAATTCTGTACCAGGATTAAAAAAAACCAAAAACTTAAAAATGTTGCGTTTCCTGCCATCAGAAACAGTATTTTCTTCCCAAATCAAAATAAAAGAAATATGATCACAGCTTGGGAGGGGGGGATGTGTAACTGAACACAGGCCTATTTTTAAAATAAAAATATTTTAAAATATTTTAAAAATGGGTTTCCTTCTTTAAAAATTAGTGTATTAAAGTCATAAAACACTGTTGTTAAAAAATAACTTAACAAATAAAGTTTGCTTAGAGATGCACAGTTTTTAAATTATATCTCATATTTAAATTTATAAAGCTCTCAGTCTTTTGTTATAATTTTCCTTTTTCATGTGAGTTTAATTATCTGCATTTATCTTTTTTCCTAGTTTTTCTAATACTAATGTTATTTCTTATATTCAGTAAGATATGGGATAAAATAATGCTTTTGGAAGAATGTTTAATAGAAAATTAAAATAGCTCTTCCTGGTAAAAAAAAACAAAAAAAAACACAAGGCAATAGCAATTCAGCTTCGCCCAACAAATACTTACTTGGGACAAGATCATCCTGGAAAGAACACTGATCTTGTGTCCCAGTCCCACATAGTAATTCATATATTCATGAATTCAACAAGCGATTTCAATAAATATTTACAGAATGCCTATTATGTGCACTGTTCCAGGTACTTGGGATAGAATAGTGGGAAAAAAATGTATTTAATACAGAAATACCTGTCCTTGTGGAGTTTACATTTTAGCTAAGAGAGGTCAGCATCCGATAAGCCTATTAAGTAGATTATGCAATAGGTCAGAAGGTGGTAAATGCTATAGAAAAAAGAAATTGAGTGGGAGGTCCTGAGATGGAAAGTTTGCAGTATTAAATTGGGACTCAGGGTAGGCCTCATTGGGAAAGTGAGATTTGAGCAAAAACTTGGAGGAGATAAGCAGATTAACCAAATGGTTATCTAGGGAAAGAATATTCTAGGCACAGAGAATAGCCAGACCTAACTAGGAAATGTGCTTGGTGTGTTCCAGGAATGGCAAAGAGGCCAGGATGGCTAGAGTGAAATGAGTAAAGGGGAGAATAATAAGCACTGTGGTCAGAGAAGTATTGAGAGGACCTTGTAGGTCTTGTGAGGACTTTGGCTTTTACTGAGAGTGCAGTGGAGACCTACTGCAGAGCTCTGCGTCTGCTTGGCTGACTTACAAAGGATGACCGTAGGGGCATGCGAGAGTAGAAGCAGGGAGGCTTATCAGGAGGCTATTGTAATCACCCAAGGGAGAGAGAAAGGCAACTTTGGTCAGGGTGATAGTGCGGGAGATGGCGAGAAATGGTCACTTCTGAATACATTTGGGAGGTAGAGATGAAGGATTGGATATAGCGTGTGAGAGAAGGATGCTAGAGATGAGGATGACTCCAAAGTTGGGGCCTGAGCAATTAGAAGGATTGAGATGACATGCAGCTAGGATGAGGAAGGTGGAGTGGAACAGGGAGTTCGGTGGGGTGAGGGGAGAAATTCAGTTGTGGACCTGTTAGGTTTCAAATGTCTGCCTAGCCTTCCAAATGGAGATACTGAGTCAGCATTTGAGATCTGTTTCTAGAGTTGAGGGGAGAGGTCTGGGCTGATATTAGTCAGGATGGGTGTGGCTGTGCTGCAGTAACAACTGCTAAATCTCACTGGATTAACACAGTGACAGTTTCTTAGTGTAGTTCTGCTCCCTGTCATTTCCTCTCTGGGTACAGCCTAATAGAGGCTCTACTACCTGGTCTGTTGATTGCTAAGGCAAGAGGAAGACAAGAACTAGAGTCTCACTACAGCAATGAAATGCTTTCACTTTGAGGTGGCCCCTAACCTCTGCTCACATTTTTGTTGTTGTTGTTGTTGGCTGAAGTAAGCCACATGGCCACAAATAACTTCAAGCAGGTGAGGAAGTGTAGTTCTCCTACATGTCTGGAAAGGGAAGACCAGAAATATGGGTGAGCCCCGTAAATGCCTACTAGAGCTGGAGACATACATCAGGAAGTCATTGGCACATAGATGGTGTTTAAAGGCACAGGGCTAGATGAGATAGCCAGGAAGTGAGAGTAAAGAAAGCAGGAAGTTCAAGGGCTGAGCCCTGGCCACTTTCAATATGCACCGTTCATAAACTCAGTTGATGTAACAAGCCCAAGATGGCAATTCTGTTCCTTTGGTTATGTGAATACTTTGTAAATCTGGTATGAAGGAATGAATCAATAGCATTGATACCTTAGTGTAAATGATGCATTATAAATATAATAATAAGTTTTTAAAATTCTGTACTGCTTATGTATGCTTTTTGTTTATAATGCTTTAAGTGATTAAGAAAATCTGATTTATTAAATTTGTAAATCTACTTTACTAGATTTATGAGTCACTTGAGTAATTAGGAAGATTTTACTTGTTAGATTTATGAGTTTACTGTTTGATGTTTGAAGTTCTTAGGAGAATTTAGATAGTTTGTATTTGTGACTGTGGTTTGAAATCTCTAAAGGAATTTAATTAATCAAGTTTGTAAATGTGTAAAATGTTTAGGGAGAAATTAATCTATCAAATGTATAAGCTTTTTGAGGATAAATCAAAGAGAAGGTGAAAGTGAAGGTTTTTATTTTAACACAAAAATTACTAGATTTATAAATAAATAAAATCTGCATGTTGAGTTTAAAGGCTTTAGAAAACAAATGAGGTGTATAGATTTACAAGCTAATTGGATATTAATGAAAACATAACATCTAGCATTCTTTTCCATACACAATAGCATTCCATGGATACTGAAAAACCCACCCATCCATCCTTCTCCTTCTCGTCCTTGTTATGATGGCATGGGGTGGGCACCTGGTGACCCTGTGGTGATGCAGGGGTCCTTGGGCACTTGCTGCTCCATCTCCCAGGGCTGTCTCAGGGCTAATGTTCAGCCCCTCCCAACTGTCACAGTTCTGATTGGCCTGACCTTCATCCTGATGGATGGAAGTCTTTTCTGATGGGCTGGGCCTGAACTAATTATTAAACGTTTTGAAAATTGTTGGTTATTTTGGATCGTAGTCATGTCCCATGCCATTTCCTTTGGTCTCAAAGTCATCACAGGTGGAAGTTCTTTATCCTAACCTGAGGTCTCCTTTAGACAGCCAAGTCTCCCAGCACCCCGAGTCTGCTCATGGTTATGTGGGAACTTCTGGATCTCCTGCCCTTCTGGGGATCAATGAACCAACAGTGACATCCTTTTTGCCAGCACCCTGTTTCATTCATTCTCTTGTCCTCAGCACCTTGCCAGTTGCTGGGAGCATTGTAGACACTACTGTACGATATGGAGATTTGTTGAACAGTGTGGCAGTGGCATAGGTGTGTTTTGAACAAGCAGTATAGAGTGGTGGTTTGCTGAATGGTATAGCAGTATGGAGTATGTGATTGGGGTAGCAGTATGGTTTAGTGGTTGTTGAATGATGTAGCAGTAAGGTGTAGAGGTTGGTTGAATGGTGCAGCAGGGTCATATCAAGGTTTTTCGAATGGCTTAGCAGTATGGTACAGCTTGTTGAATGGTGCAGCAGTATGAAGTTGTGGTTTGTTGAATGATGCAATAGCCTGTTGTAGAGGTTTATTGAATGGTGTAGCAGTATGGTATAGCGGTTTGCAATATGGAGTGAAAAGTCAAATGTGTTTATATCCTTTTCTGCCACTTATTAGCTGTGTGATCTTGGGCAAATTACTTAACCTTTCTGTGCCTCATTTTACACTGTTAACAAAAATCTCTAGTGTTGCTGAGAATCAAATGAGCTATGCACCATAAAATAATTAGCACAGTTTCTGATACATTATGAAATACTTAATAAATGTTAACTAAAGCAATAATTATATGACATACTTTCATTACTACTTTGTATGGTCTGACACATTAATGTGTCAGAATAAAGAAAAAAAAATCTCCAAATCCAATTTCCATCCAAGGAAAAAGAATTTGAATTCTTGTTCATGATATGTTTGAATAACGCAAGGAACAATCCAAGCAAAACCTTGCCATGTAACTGGGGAAGGTTAGATATTTTCTGGTGAATTTGTCAGATCTAATTCTTCTTTCCCCTTTTCCTTTCCCTCCTGCTTGGTGCAGCTCTCCTGGACTTGCTGCTGCTGCTGAGTGCGGGGGAGTGAGTCATGCTCTGCAGGAAGGCACTTGCATCAGAGAGGGACTTGAAAGTCCGAGCTGCAACCATGAAAGGTCATCGCTAGTTGACAGGAAGAGGACTGGGCATTTGTCCCTGCTTGGCAGCTGACCTTGGCCCTTGGCAAGCATCCCCTGTAGGTTTGGCAAGTGGCAGAGTGGGCGGGTCATCCTGACTCCCCTCCACCCCACACCCTCCTCCCGCCCAGGGCCAGTGTGAAGGTCGCACGTCTGTCTTTTGAGTCATCCCTGTGTTTAGTCTGCTCAAGTCCAAACTAACTGGGAGCATCGACTGTCTGAGCTGGAGCCACATCCCCATCTTGACAGGAAACACAAAGGGACCCCTTTAGCAGTATATGAGACAGGGTCAAATCTGCATGGAGGTGACATCACCATCAACGGCAATGTGGCCAGAATGGCACTTCATGTCTACGGTTTTCCTCCCCGAAACCCACAACCCCTGTCAGTGATGAGAAAAACAGCAGACGAATCGCAATAGAGGGACATCGCGCAAAACACATGTCCGGTACACCTCAGAACTCTCCAGTCGTCAAAAACAAGGAAAATCTGAGTCACTGTCACACCCAAGAGGAGCCTGAGAAGACACGGTGACTAACTCAGTGTGGAATCCTGGATGGGAAGCTGGAACAGAAAAGGACATTAGGTAAAAACTAAGGAAATATGAATAGCGTGCAGACTTCAGCTAATAATAATAATGCATTATTACTAGTGATATTGGCTCATTAATTGAGGCAAATGTACCATACTAAGATAAGACATTTTTTTCAATTTATTTATTTTTATTTTTAAGATAAGATATTAACAGTAGGGAAATGTGACTTTGGGTATATGAGAACTGTTTGTTATTCTAGCAATTTATACATAAATCTAAGACTATTCTAAAATTTAAAAAAAAGTTTACTTTTAAAATTCTTCAGAAGAGAGGTCTGCAGTACACTTTGGCCTGTTAACCATGCTTGTCTGGGGAGGTAGAAAGGGGGTGGAGGTGGGGTGCTGCCACCAGGAGCCCCCGCTGTGCAAGATTAGGAATCGGAGGGACCGAGGGGACTAAGATGGGCAGGACTTCCCTTGCCAAGTTGAGAGTCCGTCAGGGAAGGGCTTTTGATACTTCTATGTCGTTCGAATTTTTCTCAATGAACATGACCTACTTTTCATAATCTGATTATTTTTATGAATGAAAAAACCCAGCAAGCTGAATAAAAGTGATAAAGAGTAAGTTCTCCTTATAAATGTTAACCTGGATTTCCTAGGACACACTGACACCCCTTCTTGGACTGTGATTTTTGAACATTTTTT